TATTGATTACTCACAGCTTCTTTTTTTAGATTTTTATTTCAAAATAATTATTCCTTGAATTAATGTTCAATGAATTATAATTCTATAATTTTAATCTATAATTTACGTTACTATAGATTTTTATAGGCTGCCGAGCTGCCTATATACAGGGTGTTTGGAAAATAATAATAAATCTTTCGCATAGGAGCAGAATGGACTAAACTGAGAAGAAAAGTCCTCTATCATTTTGCAATTTTCAATAGTTAACAAGAAATTAATTAAATATTATCAACTTTACAGAAAAACTACAAAAGATAAAAATTGTTTATTTTCTTCTTATAGAACTCTGCGAATTTTTTCTGAATTTTTTTATCAACTTAACTTTTTAGTACTACATTTTCTTATTTTTATCAATATAAGAAAATACGGTATTAAAAAAATTCTTAGAGCTCTATGAGAAGAAAATTAATAATTTTTGTCTCTACATTCTGTATTCTATCAGGGCGGCGCGTTGAGATTTTAAGTTGTGCGGAGATGCGCGGCACGTCCCTGTCATCCGGAAGGAGGTTAAACTTAGCAGCTTCAAGTATGGACTGTACAAAAATATCATAACGTCCTATTACGTCTGTGTCGACTTACACGGGAAGTTTCGCAGCCGAAGATAACAGGTTGCGATAGAACTCATGAAGTTCATCTTTACTAAGAAAAATTTTATAACAGATAATAAATAAAAAGCCAATCTGAGCCAACACTGGTTATTAGTATGTATTTTTATACCATTTATTCAAAGTGAATATTAAACGTATACGTTTCGACTTACGGTCAAAGTCCTCTTCAATTAAAAAAAACCATTAAAAACATACGTTTGACCGTAGATCGAAACGTATACGTTTAATATTCACTTTGAATAAATGGTAAAAATACACACTAATAACCAGTGTCGGCTCAAATTGGCTTTTTATTTATTATTTTTTAGAATTTTCTTTAGAGCCTATTGATTTTATTGATATTATCTATTGATATTATAGGGTGGGCCATCTATTGGTACGTTTTTAAAATCGATCAAATGAGCATACATTGATATTTTTTATTAATTTTTTTTTTTGTTGTGAAGCTAAAAGTATCCGCGTCAAGAATGAAAAACGATTTCGTTCATGTGGCTCCCTCTACTGGCCTTACAGTATGCCATTCGGTCACCCCAATTATTCAAAAACGTACCAATAGATGGCCCACCCTATATCTCTTGGGAAAATTCAAAAATCATATGTAAATTATTCAAACAAGTGTGTTTATATAAGTATGAATAACCATTAGAATATATAAAGATAAGTGGAACGCAAATGTATAAGACAGACATTGTGTGTCGATTATTATGTACGCTTGCTGATACGGATCACCACGGACTAGATACAGTTTGTCAAATTTATAACACATTTATAATGTCAAATTTGACTATGCTGCTTCGGTTTCAATTTCGGTTTTTTTTTACCAGTAAAGAAAACCGTAACTGTAAAAATTACGGTTTTTTAATGGGTTTTTTTCGGTTCTACTTACTCACTTCATTCTATTTATTCTTTAAATCTATTTTAATAAGGAAAGAGGGAGAGGAGAAAGAGAGAAAGAGGAAAGCGTAATTCACATTCAATCTAGAGGAGCTTAATAGGAAAAAGGCGTCAATTAATCACGTGACTCTGAACAAAAATTACGTAAAAATTATTTTGAGCACATTTCTTTCAGTCCTTTCTTACAACTTATTTTATCTTTATAGATAGATCTTATTTATTAAATAAAGTCTATATGTGTATTCTTTCATGACTTAGAATAAATTTTTGCAACATATTGGTAAGGAAGATCTAAATAAAAAAAATGCTAGTATCTTAAAAAAATTTACATTAAATATGTTTCTCTGTCTTGCCAGATTCTTTATATTACATGAAGTATTGGAGATATTTGTATTTCGGTTGTTAAAAGAACTGGCGACGATAGTACTAAATTGGTGATTTAGGCAAAGGACCGTGCAAAACAAAAATTAAAAACAAGATCAAAGATACCGGGTTTACAAGAGAAATCTTATAATCGTAGCGGTCGTAGAGTCTTAAATCATAAAAAATTTATCAATCATATAGTCGATTATTCTTCTCATATTGGACTATGATTGGTTAATTTTTCTATACGACTAATATATCTATACATGTTCATCCCTCTTTCTCTTGTAAAATTACTTTTTAATGTAATAGAAATATTAATAGTAATGCGAAAACATTAAAAATAATTAAAAGAATAATTTTCACGCTATTTGTTTCAGAAAAAAAATCAAGTTTGAAGAAATATAAAAAAGTTACTTGTGTATAATTATATACAAAATTATGCATAATTGTGTATGAGCAATTTTTTTATATTTCCTTAAACTTGTTTTTCTCTAAAACGAACACTGCAAAAATTCTCGCTTTAATTATTTTTTTATGTTTTCGCATTATTATTATTATTTCTACTATACTAAAAAATAATTTTACAAAAGAAAGAGGGATGAACATATATGGACATATTTTATAATGATTATACATGTTTATGAATATTTATGTTAATATATATTTACACATATTCATGAAAAATTTATTTTTGATTCTGATTTCGGTTCGGTCCGAGTCCTTAGTTTTTGATATGTTTTACGAGCGTCATGACAAATGTTAAAATCGGAATAAGACGTGATAAATATTAAAACAAGAAGAAACAATGAAATAAACATGAAGTATGTGATTAAAATAATATGTGATTAACACGAGAAAGCTATCGCGGTATCCGCGATCGTTAGTAAAAAAAAAGTAACGTAGTAAAAATTGTACAAGTGAAGTTTGTTAAAAAAATAAATTT